TCTATTCTATTCTATTCTATTCTATTCTATTCTATTCTATTCTATTCTATTCTATTCTATTCTATTCTCCCTCTTTCCACATTTAAGTTATAACCATCACTCCGATTGCGCAAGGTCGGACACGTCTGGTTTTGTTGATGAGCCTATTTTGGTTTTTGGTCTCAATGCGAGAGAAAAAGAGTGAGCCAAAAAGACAGAGAATTTACTATTATGAGAACGAAATAATAAACCAATAAGAATTGTTGGTAAGTTCTGGGGTCAAGTCTATGCTGAGTGGTTGGGGCGAACCGGAAGTAGGTGAGTGACCAATCAGGCCGATCGATTCGAGGCCTGGATACAATCCCGCGGCGTGTGAAAAGCGATGGGAGAAAGCCGATGGTTGATGCCTCGAGGCGACTAGCGGAGTCGAGGATGCCGAGGGCAAAAATGACGAAGAGGAGGAAGATGAGGCGGAAACGTAAACACCCGCTGGTCGACCAGAGCCGACCGGTTCGTCTTGCTTTGTCGGCAGACCTTCGTGGGTCGCCAGCCTGTTTGAGCAGTGCAACGCCGCCTCTGTGACTGGTGTGGCGGAAGTGGGACTCGCCTCAAAGTCGCCAACAGGGCCCAAACAGGTGGACAAGCTCGAGAAACCGACGGCAGTATCGTCAGTCAGCAGAGGCCCAACAAGGTTGGTCGGTATCACAGATGAAAAGGGAAAGAGCCCGAGTTGACTGGCCTAAAAGCCGAGGAGACAGTTGGGTTGTGAGAAGCAGTTTGTAAAATGTCGATTGCCAGGAAAGGCATTTTCAGCTCAAAAGCATTCATGTAGAAAACTTTTAGTCAAAAAAAAATCATTTTTGGATGCTGCACACAAAATATTTTATCTGTATATATCTGTATAAAAATGAATGCTTGCTATCGCAGTAATCTAACTCACGATATACAATATTTTCATTTAATTCCACAGCCTACCGGTATGTTGTTAATAACCAGTTTATCGCTGGAAAGGACAAATAGTTAAATCATAGTAAATACATTTTGCAAATGGTGTGCTTAATCTCGAATCTGAGTCTTATAAGTATTCAAAATTCATGCAGTATCATCTTTACCATGCAATGGCAGACGAGTGAACAAACAATATAAACGAAGAAAATGTGCATTTCGAACAATCTTTTGAGAAAGGATAGATGATTTTCATTTCGTGTGGAAGTACATGATGAAGATGCTCGTAGGTCGATCTCTCCAGACTAGTCAAGTCCAGTCAAGTTTTCTTGTCTTTAGTGCTAACTTGTGGCTTTTACAAGAATGAGTCCCAGATCTAAAGATGTTCATCACATGACGAAGGAAAGCTCAGTCCACCTTCATCCGAAAAGTTGGAGGATGTCTTAATTACTGCATCAACCTGAACGTCAAACTGCCAAACAGCTGTAGTACAAGGTTAATCGGCAAATGTCTTCTGGTGAGATTGACCTTCATGTACTTCCACACGAAATGAAAGCCTTCACATCAATCAAGCAATATAATCAACTCAAGCTAAACATGGGGTTGACAAAGTCATGTAAACTAGTCCTAGGCAGGACATCCTTAAACATTTGGTGTCTACATACAGAAACAAATACGCACAAAAAAGCGTATTCAAAAAGAGATTAAATAAGACATGATGTCTGTCTTTTTCTGCATAAAATTCGTCTGGCCTCGCTATCGCATCTAAACTGCGGTATCGGGAAGACCGCGAAATGTGTACCTCGGCCGCCGCCGCTGAGGATGACACTACTGACCGACGATGTCGACTAAGATGCCTGTAAACCGTCCCTGAATGTTTTCATCAAAGCTCCAAGATTGAAGGAAATCCTGATAATTACAAAGCAAGTAATATAAGATGCATCCTTTAAATTCTTACTGAATTAGGTTTCGCCATGAGTTTCAAAACACTGATCTACTACTACTACTACTACCACTATGGGTCCTCGCCTAGCGGGACTCCAATTGTGGACGTTTAACGGCCCTAATCTCGTTGGTGCGTACATCCCATCTTTTATTTCAAACTGAACGAGTTTTATCGAATGAGAAGTGCTACAGGAAAACATACAAAGTTTTAAGTAGGAAGAAACTCAAAAGTGTCATGCAGTATCCATTCGAATATCATGAGCATTGAGTGGTTGATAAATGGCATGCTCCAAAAATATAGACAAGACACACAACACAAATTCATATGACCAGGTTAGTAGCGGTTAATTTTTTCGAAAATGTTAATGTGAATAAGTTAACGTGAAGGAATGAAAGAATGGTTTATTGGAATACGAGCTTACTCCTTTGCAGCTGAAGGAGTAGAGATATAATTATAGTTTTAAAGACAAGGCATAAAAGTGTTTCAAGAAGCCAGATATCTAAAATATTAAGTGGTCTACAGTGAGGGCTATCGGCAACATGCTAAGTGAGTAAATTCAACTCACATCCTCAGAAGCGT